CATGCAGCTGGAGACGCTTCCAGCTAACGGGCATGGAACGCAGCTTCACCCACCAGGTTTCAGGAGCTACTGTGGCATTGCTGGATAGTGCTTCCAGCAGCTAGCACGATGCAGTAAGGGAGATTAATACCCTACCTCCTGTCAGGGTCTTCAACTTCTAAGTCACTGAGGCTGAAAGTTGTGCGTGATTAGTTTTAGTAAGCAAAACAAAGCAACATCACTATTGATAGAAGTTCATGCCTTGCTATAGTTCTCTCTCAGCAATGAGTGCTCATTAGACAGTTCATATTATACGCTGTATGTTTGATGTCTGCTTTCTCACAGGAGCGTAAGAAAGGGAAGCTCATCTATTCAGTCCCATGTCAGACACTTCATACGCACACAAAGTGTGCACCGTGTTAAATCGTGGGGACAAGGGGTAAAAAGATTTTTTGTCTGAGTGGATTCATTCATTTAGCAGGGTGAAAGAGACACATGCAGGCTACTGTAATACGTGGTGCTGTATGAATGGCCTGGCGGCATAAGGAAAGTTTTTATATATCCAGTGTCCTTCAAGTATTTTCTTCCAATTCCTTTCCCATAAATCCATGAAATCAAAATACAGACATGTGTCCCTTCATGGTGGAGTTACAGTCTCAGACATGCACCAGTAGTGGATTTCTCTAGTGCAAGCACTAGAGAACCTTACACAAAGTGAAACAGCTTCCATTCCAGTAGGCATTGTGATCTCAATGGGGCTAGTGTCGCAGATGCGGTTCATCGTGGCCAAAGCACTGCTACAGAGCACACAACTAGATTTAATAATACTTGTACTAATGTCCAAATTGTCTGCCCTTTATGTAAGAACTTCTTTTATTTGACCCCTGTTCTTCTGATCTTATTTTCCATGTCTTCTTTGTCTTCTTCCCAGGTCTTTGATCCACGCTACAATTGAACACATACATAAAACTTGTCCCTGTCCACAGATTCCTTCCTTTACACCCAAAACACACTGGCCTACCCAGCTTCTTAAAGTCATTTGTGGAGAGTCTGCCAGGAGCCAGGCACTGCTCTGGGCACTGGACACATGTGACGTCAACCTTCTCAAAGTTGGTATCATGTCACGTTACACGTAAGGTAACTAAGGTTCGTGATTTCAGGTAACTCACTCAGACAAACGTGGACGGTAAGTTCTCTGTGCCATCTTTACCTATTTCAGCGCCTCCAATTCCATGACCCACCCCCGTCTTTCCTTCCTGTTTCTCAACGTCACTTCTGTCCCTGTCATTCCACTCAGGTTGTTTCCACTAAAGTCATAAAATAACCTCCTAATTTTCAGGTGTAATGGGTTTGAGGGGCCCTACTTGATTTGACCTTGTTTTATATTTGCAATATAGATTTTTTTTGTTTTCAATTAAATTTTGCAATATAATTTTTTAATTTTCAATTTATATTGCAATATTTTAAATCTCAATTAAAAGAAAGTCCTTTGGATTTTTTCTTTCTATCTATCTGTCTATCTGTCTGTCTGTCTATCTTGGAAACAGGGTTTTCCACTGTACTGCCCAGGCTCCCGTGATCGTGCTGCCGCAGCCTCTCACATGACTAGGATCTCAGCACGCATCACTACATCTGATCCCCTTGAATAAGGAATATTTATCCCACTCACTCCATGAGAGTCCCCTTGCCCAGTTTTCTGGCTCCCTCTTCACCTTTTTCACTGGTTTCTCTTTCTTCTTGGGTCCTTTCTCTTTTGGTGTGTTTTTTTCCTGACTTAAACCCTATGCCACTCCCCTGCATTCTTTCCCTGAGTGATGATCTTAGCTGCCATCACCTGGCTTACACAGCAGAACCTGCAGACTCCGCTCCCTCGTGGGTCCCGGCTGATGCTCCCAGTCGCTGTCCAGGCGGCATCCATCACACAGGGCCACCGGCGTCTCAGACTCCACCTCAGATGCTCAGCACTTCCCCTTTCCTAAGACCTGTTTCTCTTTCCTCTGTGAATGATACCCGCATTCACTGATCTCCTTGGTTACAGTCTTGCTCCCTTTATGCTTAGCTGTTCCTATTCATTGAAAATAAGTTGAGCCAATCCTGTTCTCTTGAGTTTTTCTTCTTCTGTGGCCACCATGACTCTGAGGTCAGTGTCTGTGTCACCTCTTCTTGTGCTCTAATAGTATGGTGTTGATAGGAGAAATGGTTCTTAGACCTGTGCATGGACATTCAGATCCCTCATGAACTGTATTTAAGCGAATTTTGATTCTCTGCTTATTTTATATTTCATGTGTACACTTAGTTCACACCTTTACATGATTTAGTCTTTTTAATATAATGTATCTAAACATGCCACTTCAAGGAGGTATTGGGAGATTTCAATATTTATATTACTGTCTTCAAGAACACTAATCCTTGCAGGGAGTGAAGCAGTTAATAAAAATGAATTTAACATCAGCTTTATTGTTCCAGACTTTACAACCTGTAGGGGAAATAAGGCAGGTGTCTAAGTAGCAGTAGCACACGCTGCAGTGAGATAATTATAAAATCAGAGAATACACGGCTATCAGAAGTATACGGAGGGAGTGTTTGTTCCCACTGAGGCAGCCGGAGCCAACTTCATGAAGAAGCGAGCAGCTCAGCAAGGACTTCAGAGATGAGCAGAACATGAACTTGTGAATATTGATTCTTCTCACACACTCGCTGAAAACCGCCCCCACGTTTATGCCAAGTGCGGCCCTAAGTGCTGGGGACAGAAACACACAGGAGACTGTCATCAATCTCAGGTTGTCTTCAAACTGGGGAAGAAACACGATGCAGAGTGCAAAGGAATTGCAGTGCAGAGGTTTCTAAAGCTACAAAACAATAAAGGTGAAAATGATGGGAGAGGGGCAGGCCTGCTCTTTAAAAGGGACATCCCTGACGGGAGGCCCAACTTGAGCTGGCACAGAGCGTCAGCAGCTGGGAACAAAATGAATCTAATTCCAGGCACTCCACACAGAAGTCGGGGGCTCAGGATGGGAATGTGCCACTTGTGCGCCGCGGAGGTTGCTCAAGAGAGCTGAAGAAAAGAGGCAGAGGATGCGGAGAGAAAGGCTTCTGAGCTGGGGAATGGAGAGGATAAAGGTCAGAGGAGCTGAAGGGGCTGGAGACAGCCTCCTGCTGACTGACACACAGTGCTAACTTGTACACAGTTCAGCCCAGACTCATTTTTTACCAGATGAACCACAAATTGAGTTAGTTGACTGCATTTCTGACTAAAACTTGTTCTTCTTAGTATCACCTAGCTCAATCATGCAACCTGCTGTTGACTTTTTACATTAAATTCCAGCCACTGACCACATTAAACTTCCCAGTCTACCTTCCCTGATGGGCTTCTCGTTTCTCCTGAGCGTGCACTCACAGGGACCAGCTGATCTTACTTTATTTCATGACGACATACCACCCATCCCCAGTGGGTTATTACGGAGAATAAAGACAGGAACGGTGACAATTCCCAAACACTTCCCCATTCCTCTCTTACTGTAGTCATCATTTTAAGCCACTACTAATGAATGAAGTTGAGCTTTGCTTTTTTTTTTTTTGTAATAAATGACATGAACTCCCCTTAAATGTACTTTTTGGCAAAAGTGTTCCAAAACGTATTCAGACTCCAGTCAGACCTCAGTATATTTGACCATACAAAGCCAAAATAAATGGCCATTTCAAGGGAAGAGATATATCAATTGGTTAAAAGAGTAATTACAACTTTGCAACATTTCTTTGTTACAAATATTTTTCTTTATATCTGGTAACATCCAAATGTCATTCTTCTCAAAGCCATCCTGTAAAACTACCCTCCACTGACAAAAGAAACCCCTACATGTCTAACTGGGTTATGTCATGCTCTTTCCTGAGGCAAGGAGGAAATGTTTCAGTCTATCACAGCTTATTGAGAATGGCTTTAATTATGTTATGGTATCTTATTCTAATGCCAAGCTAAGATTAATTTCAGGAAGAAACGAGTATTTTAGATAGTAGATCTTTTTCAGAGGTTAATACAGAGTCTTGTATTACCAATGGCAACATATGATGCTGGATATTTCTGAATATGCTAAAAATAGAGCGTCAGGAAGTCAGTGAAGGCTTTAGATACAAACATGGGGCAAATACCAAAAATAAAATGCCTATTTCATAAATCCTAGTAACGCAATGAGACCAATTAACCAATAAACACATCCTTCAATGTCTCTGGGATGATCTTTAGGGTTTGGACAGGAAGACGTTAAACAGGCCTAACAGAACCAGGAGAACTACACATCCACTACTGCCTCTCCAGGTCGCCTCTGCATTCAAGCCCCACCTTGTCACACTAAGCCCGCGTGTTTGTTATATCATGTAGCTCACGCTCTAACAGCCAGCCAGTGGCAGAGTCTTCCTGCCTTTTTGTCACAGTCCCTTCCTATCAGCCCCTTTCTCTCCCGTCACAAGACGCCAGGCATCTCCTACAGTGCCTTGGGCTCTGTGCCTTTTGTTCCTGCTGCTAAGCTTTGGGCTGGAATATTCCCAAAGATCACAGAAGTCAGTCCCACTCCGGTAGCTTCAAGGCCCACCGTGGTATTTTTGCCTAACGTCGGCGTGTCTCCCTCTCGTAGCCATTTGCTGTTTTCTCTCTGGACTGTGCTTGTGTCTGAAATGTGCTTCTCGGTGCACCCAACTGACCCACTCTTGCTCTTCACTAAAGAAACTCCCAACATCGAAATTCTCAAGAAACGTTCAGAAGGAAGAGGCAGTACTCACCCTCCGGCTAATTGTGTTGCATTTTATCCAGGCTATTTGCAGTATAATTATATAATCTTTTCTCTGATCAATCTATTATCATCAGTGTTTATACTGTGACGATCTGTGTTTTGGGGAGTTAGGGATTTTAACACATTTTTCTTTGAAAATTCTGTGTGCTTTGAATGGTAAGCCCTTGGAAGACATCTCAGGACAAAAGATCATGAAGACTTCATTGTACTTTCTTGGGACAGCAAGACAAAACCTACCTGTCCATGCCTTTGCTGGGAGGCCATCTCCTGAGCAGCTTCAGGGTGTGACGTGGCCTTGCGATCAGGCCCCCGTACTTTGGGACGCACCACATCGGAGACCAGACTGGAGGAGATCGCTAGAGACTTGGGCCGGGCTACCGTGTTGCCTGTGCCCCCTGGGGCACCCTGTTCCACTTTTCTGCTGGTAACTTCATCTTCCCCTTCAGAGTCCACAATAAAGACATACTCAGCCTTGAAGAGGTCACCTTGCTGCATTCCTTGAAGGTCGTTTGCTTTAAATCCCCTTCCTTGTGAATTATTTTCACAGACCTGGGACAGACAATTCAGTGTCCCTTGGACTCTCTCTTGTTCATTCCCACTGTTAAAGGTCACGTCAACGGATGTAGACTGTGGAAGAAGAGAGATAAAACTTACGAAGAGGACATAAAAACGTGGAGATTTTTAGTACAGCACATCTCTCTTATTTTACTTTGAATTTGTAATTCTCAGTTTTCTCATCGTTTTCTGTAAATACAGATTTACAAAACCAGAACTGATAGAGCTTTATCAGGCTACCAGATTTCTTCTCCTAATGCAGCAACCGCGTTCACTGAGGTTGTGTCTAAAAGACTCATTATCAGTTTCCTTGTTTTGGTAATGGTGCCATGATTACTATTTTCTCTTCTGTGAAACTTTTCTGTAAGGCTAAATTTATTTGAAAATAAAAAGCCAAACCTCTGAATAACCATAGTCATCAGTCTGAGACAATGCTAGCCAGTGTCTGTGAAGGTCGAATGAATCAGACCACAGATACAGCCACCCCCACACACACCCTGTTCAGCTGCTGCTGCTGACGCAGTAAGGATGAAACCAACTCTGCTTAAGTCTTCTCTGTTCATTTGTCTATTCTTACACTGTGCAATTTTTTTCCCACAGTATGTATCACTACCTCAGATCTTGTTATATAGATTTTTTTTATTCTTGTTTCTGCCTTCCCCATAACGAGCCATATGCGTAGTCCCCGTTCGTTACAAGTACAAGAACACAGCATATATGTAGAGTTACTGTGTGTATATGTGAGTGGGACAGAGGGGTCGCTTAACCTAGTCTAATTTTTTTTTTTATTTTTGATTTTTTGAGATGTGATCTCACTGTGTTTTTCAGGCTGACCATAAACGATGTAGGCAAGGCTGACCTTGAACTCATGGTGATCCTCCTGCCTCAGCCTCCCAAGTGTTGGGATTACAGGGGTACACCACCACTCTGGCCCAAATATTGTTCAGCTATTTAAAAGTGGGAAAATCTTTCATCTTTTGAAGCTGTAATTGTATATATAGCATTGCGGTGAGCAAATGAGTATTAGCGTCACGGGAAGCTTGGGAGGTCTGCAACGAACATTGGATCATCCAGCTACAGTCTCACACTTCCAAAGGCCACAGTAACAACAGATGCCATGGATGTACCGCGTGTGTTTGAGTACTGTTAGGGAGGAACTTGCCAGAGCTCCTTATAGAGCAGTCAAGGTTTCTCTGAAATAATTTGGTCTCATTTGTCCTTGAAATAAGATAGCAGCATTACAAACTCCAGGGTCATAGATACAGTAGTATATCAGGACTTCCTAGATTAGAGTAGCCCAAGTTCTCCTGGTCCCATTTTATTATAAGAATAAATAAAATGATGTTAAAATATAAAGAGAAAACAGTTTACACAAAATTTTTTTGTTCTAACTCCAATCACTTTCAGATATTTGTTTGAATTTTACTTCCAGTATTTGCCTAGTTTTACACAGGCATAATCAGAGTAAATGCAATGAAAGCAGTTATTGAGCCTGTTCTATTATGTAGTATCATATGGTTGATATTTTCCACTGCATTTCATAATCAGTGTAAGTATACCCTTGTCACAGTCATATACCAGCATAGTCTCCATTGAGATCAGTCTTCAATTTCTTACAGAAATCAAGGACTTTTTATTTTTCATTAAATGCTTTCATGCATAACATTTTTCTTCTTTTGTGCTATTTCCTTGAGATATATTTCCAAAAGCTAGATTACTGAGAGGTTATGAACAGTTTTATGATTGTGGATAAAAGTTTTTGATCAAATTTTACAAGTTTACAAAACTGTCAGCAATGTTTGGCTATGCCAGTATTTCTACAACTGCCCCAACATTGGATATTACTTTTTAAATATTGCTAGTGTATTACATGTGAAATAATCTCAATCTTTATCTTTTTTCAAGGTTAAATATTCAACTGTTTTGTTTTCTAAAATATGTGCTAGGAAGTAGAAATTGTCTTGTAAGTAGTAAACAACAAGATGGCCATTCAGAAGAGTTGAGAGTAATTCATTAGCAGCAACCTGAAATTTGAAAACATTTAGGTTCCTGTGATATAACTTTATAGATATGAAATTTTATTTTTACTTAATCAGATTTCGCAGTCATGTCGCTTTAAGCATTGGAAATAAACTGATTAAAATTTCTAAGCCATTATTATGGACAACTTCATATACTTCTTTAAATAAAGAAAAAATAAAAGTAACCCTACCCTATTTACAGTTTCTGGACTCTTATCACCTGGCTCCTCAGGAATCCTAACAAGGTATTTGGAAGTGTCGGCCAACTGAATGTGGGCTGGAAGTCTTCCAACAGTGGGAACAAAGCTGAAGATCAGAGGTTTGGCTTCAGAATCACCAGAAGAGACCTACGAGACATACCACAAGTCAGACCTTCAGTCTCACGGAAGCGCTACCCTGACTAGTCTCTATATAACATAATATTTATCTCATTTATTTTTATAAATTCTCTACTGTCCTATGATAATGTGTATGGCTGCCAAGAAAGCAGATATAAAGATAGCCACAGTCTATCAGACTTTTTTATAATAGCATTCATCAGAGAAGCAACCTACTCCCGAAAGGCCCTGCTGCAGGGCTGGCAGTAAACAGCAGATGGCGCTGATCCCCCGAAGGTTACGAGACCTCTCCGTTGCGGTGGCGCATCTCAAGCACAGCGCCTGGTCTGCTTCAGATGTGGTTTTTGTCTATTTACCCCTAGGTTAGTAGGCTCAATTGGTGACCCGTAATCAAGAAAATCCCAGCATTTATCATTATTAAGAAGATTGAGTGGGGCACGGTTTCAGACGCCTGTAATCCCAGAAGTCTGGGAGGCTGAGGCAAGAGGATTGATCTCAAATTTAAGCTCAGCCTGGGCAATTTAGCAACTTAGAGAGACCCTGCCTCAAAATTTAAAAAATAATTTAAAAAGGGATGGCAATGTAACTCAGTACCAAGGTCCTGTGTTCAATCCCTAGTGCCACAAAAACAAAAATAGTTAATGTATACATTTAAAATAGTATATATGAGAATACCATGCCTGCTCTTAAGGAACTATCTTCTCTTTCATTTATTCTTAATTCGTAAGTAATTCTATTAAATATTTGCTGCCTAGGAGGCCTTTGGGAGCAAGGGACCCAGCAGTGAGTAGGAAACTGTCAGTAGACATGCACCAGTAGAAAAGGACTGTGCACAGAATGCTGAGAGAACAGTGAGGGGTGCTTAGCCAACTGATGAAGAGCCATAAAAGGCAAAATCTAAGGTTTAAGTCCAAGTGAAGAGAGGGCTAAGGATACCCTGACTGAGAAAAGCTAAAGGATGCAAACAGGGCAAGCAGCTGCAGTGGGATGTGTCTCAAGCTCAGGCTTTGCCCTGCGTCTGAGAACCATTAAAACAGTGTTGACTGAGAGATGACATAATCAGATTAGAATTTTGGATAGACCTGACTTTTAAAGTCACAAACCTAGAGACAAGCACAAGAGTCCAAAAGCTATCATAATGTAACTATGAAGCATCCCCCCAAATTTACAGCAGGGTTCTGAGGCAGAGGCTCAACAGATGAGTGGATCATGCAAACAAAAGCTGCATCAGTGGGTTAATCTGTTGATGAGCTCATAGATGAGTGAGCTGTGAGGAGTGTTATAATGGAGTACGTTTGAATGTGTCTGTAGACAAGACACAACCCATAGAGAAAGACAAGAGAAGCGAGATCCTAGAGTAAGATCAGACAGAGTTTATTCCTGGGCCAGGGAATGCTGGAATGCTGGAGGGAATGATACGAAGAGACCAGAAGTGGCGACCAGAGAATTAAAGAACTGAAACATTGTGCAGCTATTGGTATAGGCTAGAGATGTGAGAGTAAGGAAGAGCAGAGGTGAAGGCAGCATAATGTTAGAAAAATTACCTTTGGTGTGTAATACTGGTTTTGTAAAGAACATAATGTTAAAGAGAGTAACCCTGAGTGAGGAAGTAAATCTTCAAGGAAAGGAGAAATGAAAGTGAGTTAAGGAAACAAAACAAGGAACAGAGTGACTCCTGAACGTGGTAGGATGGGGAAAGAGCAGAGTGAGGGCAGAATGGGAGTGACTTGGTCTAATCAATTCTCATAAAAAATCACCCCCTCTAGTCAAGGTAGCACTGCCCCTCTGCTACCTCAGTGCTTTTCTCAGAAGAAATATGCCAAGCCTCAGCAGGACCTTGCTCCACTCTTGTAAGCCCTGCCACCTTTCTGTGCCTTGGGTCCCTCAGGCCATTTGTCTGTACAAGTGCGCCTTTCAACCCAGTTCGAGTCCATGCTCAGGAGGAGCCCAGGCTCCAAGCCGCTCCTTACTCCTAACAGCTCCCCTCCTTCTTAGTCTGGATCCCGTCTCACACCCTGCTCCAACCCTTGGAAGCTATTTCATTCTACCTTCTCTGGAGTTTAGTAGCCCACTATAAGATCTTCCATGTGATATCTTTCTTAAAATCTTTCTTTCCCTTTTCTAACAAAAACATGTTCTCTGCAAAAGCCTCTATTGCCCAGGAAGCTCTTGGTGAGGCAAGTCCCTGACATCCTGCACACTGGGATTGGGTACAGGGTAGGTGTCGCCCTTGTTCATCTTTACTGCTTCCAGGCTCTTCTTACTTCTTCCCTGCCAGACCTTCAGCTTTCACTCTCCTGTCATCAGCCTCCGCCATCCATTTGTCTCCTAGCTATAGTCATCTGTCCATCCTCACACTGCACTCTTCCTGTCTTGAAGATTTAGTTCCTGGATCATTATTACTGTCTCCAATATTGTGTTTTTACAGTACCAAATATTATATTTCAAAGGGTAACTTTTCTAATATTGTTTTTCCTCCCTTACTCTCACATCTCTAGCTTAGACCATTAGCTGCAAAACCCTCCATAATTTTAGTTCTTTAATTTTCTGCCCCCAAATCATGTCATACATCCATTGCCCTTTCATTTCTACTGACCCCAAAACACTTTCTCGTGACTTTTCCTCTTTCTTCAAACCCCTAAAATCACCTTCCCCATTCTTACTCTGAACTGATGACTTTGTTTCCATTTTACTTATATTACTGAAGCAATCAGAAGAGAACCTTAAATGTCCCCAAAGTCACACCTACTAATCCGCCTGAATCTGCCTCTCTCTGTGGTCTCCAGCCCTGGCACTATGCTCCTCCTGAAGCCAACCTTCACTGGAACACATTTTCTTCACTTACACTGGTATGCTCAACAAGCCTCATTAAAGGCCTACTAAATGCTAAGCACTTTTCCAGAGATTGGTGATAAAATAGTGAACAAAAATCCCTGCCTTCATGGAGTTTACATTCTAGTGGAAAGAAGCAGGCAGAAACAAATAAACAAAGCATGTAGTATTTCCATAAGTGCTATGAAGATTTGCTGTAAGGATATTGCAATAATCAGTGGGAAATAAAATGATGGGTAAAACTTGGATGGTCACAATGGTGGTGGTAGGAAGTGTCAGCTATACTTTTAGAAGGAAAAATAGAATTGGAGGAGCAATATTAGAGAGAGTCTAGGGACAAGATGGACATTATTCACTGAAATGGAGAAAACAATGCTTGACACTGGTTTGAGAAAAAAGATCGAGATCAAATCTGCTATGTCCAATGTACATCTAAGTGAACATGTGAGCAGGAGAGTGGGGTTAAGAGAGAAGTCTGTGCTGAAATTCTGAGGGTTGTTACCCACAGGTGGTATTTGAAATCATGAGATTAGATGTGATCGCCAAGGGAGTGCACACAAATAGGGAAATGAGACCCACATTTGCCCTCCACAGACTCTAACAGCTGAAGAAGTGTAGTGGGGGGTGATGTAGGAGTTCGAAGGCAGATGGAAACGTTTGCAACATCATGAACAGCAGAGGGCAGAAGGCCTGTCCAGACTAAAGGCTTGACATACTCCAGAGGACACAAACAAATGTAAGTCCATGAATGTGTAGAGGGGCAAATTGCTTGGTTGTTCAAAGTCTCTTGAGGGTTTCTGAGCAGCTTAGCACAGCAACAGAGTAAGCAAATATGGTATTTGTAAAATTGATGTTTGCAGGTGGTCCGGGCAAACAAGAGGTCTTTGGCTCAGAAAATAGATATGGTACTATAGTGACTGTTTGAGACAACACCCTGAGGTTACAATACAGAGTGAAGTGTGGTAGTTGTAGAAGATTCTAAAGTCTCACCTTTGAACTTGAGAAGTCTATCTGAGAGGAAGGGCGCTGAGCTTGTAAAGGTCAAAGAACTGTGATGGAAGAGTGTAGATAAGGCTGTGAAAAGGAAAGCCATGCTGAGCTATATGAAGACTGGGCTTCACAGAGAAGCCGAGAACATACTGGAACCTTCTGGAATAAATCTGAAAATCAGGTCAGAAGACTCCTGGGGATAAGCAACATGGGACCCTAGATTAGCAATCAGTGATAATTTTGTGAGCATGAAACAGAGCTGTATATCCTTCTAGTCATTTTCACCCAAGTTCTAGAAAACCTTGCTGAAATAATTCTGGATCATTTATTGCAAGGCATAATAACCTTCTGTTAACTAAAACACTAGTTTTTGGTAAGTAAATATACATTGTAGAAGTGATGCATAATTCTTAGGTATATAAAATACACAAACCCTTTTGACCCAGCTTTCATTTTTCATTATTCTTTTCTGCCTGTTAAAGACATTTGTCATTATCTCCTCATTAGAGTCATGTCACCACTCCCAGGTGGAAGTTTATTATGAGAAAGTAAAATTTACTGCTTCCTTTGTGGGAAGGAACATTATATCTCTTTTTAGACTTGGAGCATCTACTACAGCAATACATAATGCTAAGCCTTTCTATCTGTATTGTCTTCTACGAAGATTTCATCACAAGGTTAAACTCATCCATATCCTGATGGAATGGAAAATGATGGGGGCAAGAAAATCATCAAGGGAAGTTCAAATTATCTGTCTTAAGATTTCATTTGGGCAGGAAGTAAAGATAATCTTTTAAGAAACAAGAAAGAAGAGGTGATATTGTGACCTTGTCCCAGATTCTGTAGGGAGAGACCTGCCGTTACCCTCCCACATTATGACTCTAGGTTTTTCCAAATGAAATTTCAATAGTGACAATGAAAGGCTTCAGTAGAAGCATCCCATGGCCATAACACACATGTAATCAGTATAGAGTCAAGTACCTTTACCTTCTAAAGCAAAGCACACACAGTGGTGAAAATCTGTTTCCTCAAATGCCTTGTTCAACTGTACAACTCAGTGTGTCTTGAACCTCTAAAATACAGAACTCCACAGTTGATACATGTGATAGCTCTAACTTTATTGAATAAGAAATGAAATCTGAATAAAGACATGTTTTGATGAATAGGATATGCTTTTATCACAATAC